TGCAGAGCTGCAGCGGAGTCCCTTTTGGTACGGCTACACTAGCTCATTAGTTCGAGCTACGTAGGGTACTGAGGGCAAGCGGAGTTGCAAATGAAACTCGGGATTTAAATATCCCGGGCATCATTTGCATGTTCTCAGGTGCCGCCATTTTTAAATCCCCTTTAGTCCGAACTCCGTGCCCGCAGAATGAGGAGTAACGATAGTTCGAATTAGGATCTTTAATTCGAACTACCTAGTCTGTGCTGCGTGTAGCCGCGGGCACGGAGTTCGGACTAAGGGGGATTTAAAAATGGCGGTGCCAGGGAACATGCAAATGTTGCCCGAGATATTTAAATCCCGGGCTTCATTTGCAACTCCGCTTGCCCTCATTACCCTACCTAGCTCGAACTAACGAGCTAGTGTAGACATATCCTTATTGACTCATTCTGTACTCGATGCAAATTGTATCTGCATCTTAACATCCTTAGTGGAGGGGGCAGTCACATGTCCAGTGCCTCCCCTGTGTCCTTTCTCAGCAGTTGCTCCTGCTACTCTTAAAAATCTCCAGTGATGAAAATTCCATAAACCTCCCATGTCAATTAGTTCTTACATTTAACCACCCTGACAGAAAGCTTTTCCTAATGTCCAACGTAAGCCTCCCTTGCTGCAATTTAAACTTCTTGTCCTATCACCAGAGGTTAAAGAGATAATTTTTCTCCCTTCTCCTTGTAACAACCTTTTAGGTACTTGAAAGCTGTTATCATATCCCCTCTCAGTCTTCTCTTTTCCAGACTAAACAAAACAGTTATTTCAGTCTTCCTTCATAGATTGTGTTTTCTATAATTTTTGTTGCTCTTTTATGGACTATTTCCAATTAGTCCACATATCTCCTGAAAAGTGCCACCCAGAACAGAACACAATACTCCAACTGAGGCCTAATCAGCGCAGAGTAGAATGGAAGAATGACTTCTCATGTCTTTGCCAAAACACTCCTGTTAATGCATCCCAGGATCATGTTTGCTTTTTTTGCAACAGTGTCACACTGTTGACTCATTGTTACCTTGTGGTCCATTATGACCCCCAGTTCTCTTTCCACAGTACTCCTTTCTAGGTAATAATTTCCCTTCCTAAGTGGAGTACTTTGCATTTCTCCTTACTGAATTTAATCCTATTTACCTCAGATCATTTCTCCAGTTTGTCCAGATCATTTTGAATTATAATCCTATCCTCCAAAGTAATTGCGATCCCTCGAAGCTGGATATTATCCACAAACTTTATAAGTGTACTCTCTATTCCATTATCTAAATAATTGATGAAGATATTGAACAGAACCAGTCCCAAAACTGGTCCCCCTGGAACCCACTCGTTACACCCTTCCAGCATGACTGTAAACCACCAATAACTCCTCTTTGTGAATGGTTAATCAGCTAGTTATGGACCTGATGGTTCAATTTCATACTGTGATTAGTTTCTGAATGAGTCTAAATTGCTCTGCATTTTCTAGAGAGAAACTTAATGATTAAAAAACTTGTTGCAAAAAGCACTCACAGAAACAAATCTATAACACATAATTCAACTATTTTTACTTATTTAATAATAGCCTGTTAACTGAGTCTTTCTGTTTGCCCTCCCATAATGTGGGTCCGAGAAGACAGTAGATACTCAGGCTGTAATTATTTAATGACAGTAGATGATGAGATTTGAAAAGTTAAAACACAAATTGTCAACAGCATCTCAAGGTATATAATGTAAATATTCTTAAATCAAACTCTAGTAAGTTCACAAGCTGCATTTTTACTCTGTAAATTTTGATTATTTTTAATGGTAATATTTTTGTCTATATGTGTACAGTGAAATTAACATTTACCAGCATCTATGATAAAAATCTTATAGTTCCAAACCTACATTTATGCTGAAGAAGGCAAATGATTACATCATCTCTATGACTCACTACTAATAACCACGCTCCAAATAGGGACAGCTCCAAAGTATGAGTTGTCATCAGGGATCCTACTATTTTGCAGGATCACAAAAATAAAAACTTCTGTGATAAAAAAATAAAAATCCACATTTTTCTGGGATTAAAAAGAAATTGCTGAACTTTAGTTTCCTAGCCACCCTATAAGTAGATACCCACAATAAGTTATATTTACAATTTTAAATTGGCAACCAAAGCTCCTCTGCCCGGGATGACAGTCTGAGGTTCCCCTCCTCCCAATCTAATTTTTTTAATTATCTAATCAGGCACCAGTCCTAATTAGCTTGGATAATTGGGGTTCCACTGTATATGGTTTTCTTTTTCACAAAATGTAAAAATTAAAGAGTGTCTGTAAAAATGCAAATTCTGCATTTGTTCATGGCAAACACATTTCAGGGATCCCTGGTGATCATGGCTCTTCCTAGAGCCAGTTCACATAGGATATTAGCTCTGGGAATACTGAATAGACATGAGTCTATTGTATTTTCGTGGCAATTCCCAAAGAAACATAGACTCCTCCTTACAATTAGAATTGCATTCTTAAAACAAATACTCTTTCTGGAACCTACACACTATGGAGAGAAATTGAAATTTGTTAAATAATTTAGATTCAGATTTATTTTAGTCCATAGTTTTCTAAATATAATGTAAAGTTTGGAGTATATTAACATTGTCAAATAATAAAATTCATAATTGGTCATTAGTTACTGCAGTTTTTTCCTTGTGATTTAAATCTTACTTTTATATTTTAAGTAGACCTATGGTTATAGTATGTTGGAGATATTATTTTATGTATTTCATAGCACAGTACTGTCCAGTACTGCTCAGTCAGGCCTACATTATGGCTTACATTGTGGTGAGTGTTGTACAAAGATCTTGCAATGAAGACCCTACATATAAATGCTGTGCTACAGTACTACAGTATTGCAGTGTTACCTATATTTAGAATGTTTGCCACAGAGAGGTTTTATACATAAGGCAGTAATGCCATTTCCTGAACCTTTTGCTCTGTGAATACAGAGTGTGGCTGTAAGTCCATGGCTGACACGGTCTGTGAGCGCAGAGCGTGCTAATCAGCCTGTGAAGCATGAACAAGACTCAGATGCCTGAATCCAAACCAATCAAAACATTTATTTTCTGAGAAAATTATTAGCTGCCTATGAGGCAAAATATATCTCTGTCTGTCTGGACTTACCATCAATCTGGTTTTTTTTTGTTATCTTTGGCCTCATACTGTGGTCTTGCTGGACCTCAAATGCTAAAAAGGGTTAGACTAGGTCAGTACTTACACAGGAAATATTTAAAGGGCACCTTAATGTGGACGAAACCTATTCATACAGTGGTATAGACAAGGTAGGTGAGGTGCTATTTTTTGTTAGCCCAACTTCCGAGAAAAAGTATTATCTCATTCTCACCCACTTTTGTGTCTCTTGTATCCGGGGACTAAAATGGCTATAGCACTGCAAATATTCATTAAATGTCACTTTTCTGAATGAAGTTAATATTGTGCTGTCTTTTGGATGATCTACGAAACCAACCTGTTCTTTTTGTACACAAAGAAATTCTCCAATCAGATTAGTCTCATGGTGTTTTATCAACACCAAATTCACTTGGATATGAAAAAACAATCTAACATATTTATACTACTTGTGCAAGCACAGGTATGTTCAATCAAGCATTTATTTTGTCATTCAAATCTTAAGCGGATGCTAGAGTCCATAGCCTAAATTTCTATTTGGTAAAGAATTTGCACCACTAACTCTAACCTAAAAGAAGGGGCTTCTTGGAACTCAATGAGATACTAAATGTTCAGAAGCCAAAAGAACTTCAATTTCACTGTAAGACACAGGAGCTTATTTTTTGGTGAATATAACATTACAATAGTTAAGCTAACACACTGGAATACTCCAAAACGGGCAAATAAATAATTTCTGAAATGTGATGACTGATGTTTGAATCAGTAATAATTTCCTTACAGGATGTGTAGGGGGAGATTATTTCCTTGGTTGTGCACATGGTTCTCATTAATGTAACAGGAAAGCACTGTGAAATCAAATTTTATCTAGAGATGTATAATTTTAATACCACTAAATAATAAAATATTAATAATGTATAGTTCCATAATGCCTTTCATACTAAAGGATCCTAAGTATTTTCAAAAGCTACAATATATACAAATAAATGATCTAATTTCCAATTATACTAATCTGAAGGGTATCACTGAAATAATAATAAAAATAATGGGCCAAATATTAAAGTCCTTACTTAGTTAAACCTGTCTCTGAAATTAATGGAAGTTTTGTCTGAATAAGGGCTAGATAATGATGATGATTTAGCATATTACTTATTAGTTAATTAAATAATTAGCAGGTGTTACACATATATTTTTTAAATAAATCATGTTAAAATGGCAATTTTTGTTAAAAAAGTGAAATTGTCCAGCTGTGTGAAGATTGTCAGTGAAAAACTAAACTAGAGATGGACCAAGGTGATTCTATGATTCTAAGATGTGAAATTCAGATCTTTCCTACTGGAACTTTGCAAAAGTGTAGATCCAAAGCCTTGTTTCAGCACATCAGAGCTCCTTTCTGCTACAAAATGTGGTTCTTCACATATCTGAATTTCACAGACTTGTTGATGGGAATGGGTATCACATTCAGTGGGAATGTTTGTGGCCCCATCTCTACACTGAACTAATACAAAATCCTTTTTTACAGTGATAATGTTCTGTGCTCCTTTTTTATATACGCACATAACTACAATTAGCCTCAGTGGTAGTTACATCTGAGCAATGAAAGAAGAAAAGGCCTTGATTTCTTATGGAGAATCTTCTATAAAATTCATCCAGCTGGTTGCAGAATTGCAGTTGGTTGTTTCATTGACAAATTGTTTCAATAGTCTGAATCAAGTGTCAAACTCAAATAAAACCTGCGATTTGGATTGTGAAAATTAAAATACATCCTATTGTTTTAAAATAACAAGTTTAAAAAGAGAGTTTTTAAAAAGCAACCTGATAAGAATGTTAAATTAATAAAAAAATTACCTGGTAAGTGATGTGGACAAAAGGTGGCTCCAGAAAAGATGGGTATTCTAGAGATAACCTCTTTCCATTTCTAGTGAAGTCTGTTAATTCAGAAAGGTGCAGCTGTAACTCAGCAAAGCTGCCACACAATCTTTCTAGATTCCTGGATATGTGACTTGCTCCTTTTTCACTTGGCAAGTTATTATTTTTATGAGAAATAGAAGTTTCTTGAATCACATCCAGCTGCACTTTGGGAGAAGCTGGTCTGTTGGAAAACTTAGTTGGTGTCCCAAGTCCAAAGAGGGCCACTGACCGATTAATTGGCTCAGCATCCAATGTTTCCAATGCAATGGATGGGTCACCTGAGACCCTTTTTTCATCAAGGTCACTCACACTTGATGATGAGCTTCGTTCATAACTAGGACTCTTCACTTCTTCCATGAGTCTTCTCCTACCACTAGGGGATTGAATGATAGTGCTACCTGGTATTAACAGCTCTCTGCTCAAGGGTTGGTCTTCCATAGCAAGATTTTCAAAGAGCTTCCGTTTTCCAAAGGTATTCACAGAGGATTCAAAATTAGAAAGTAGATTCTGGTTGGCATCAGATGGTGCTGAAAAATCTTCAAATATTAATTCTTTGATCATTAAACGAATAATGTATCTTTCTGAACTTGAAGATGGAATGAGAGAAGGGTCAGTGAATTTCTGCTTTCCAATCAAAATCAACAAAAGTTTATCTGTGAAGAAACACAATCCTTTTGGTCTTTCACTTTTCTCCAGTTGGATTTGTTGAATATTGGGCATGCAGGAAGAGGTTACTGAATAAACCAAAACAATGTTACAAGTATTGGAGGCTACTGCCACAATTTGAGCTCTAGGGTCAAAAGCTATTATATCAGGGACGAGAATGCCTGGGATGCTGACTTTTCTGGTGGTGGTTACTTTTCTCTCAAAAGTCACCAAGATCAGGTATGAAGAGTCTTGATTATTTCCTGGGACGTAGTCTTTGCGTCTCAGAGGAATGAGAGGAATAGGATCAGATCTCCGATGGTTTGCAAGGATATGGGTTAAATCCATGGGACCTGATGAAGAAGAAGCAACTGAATCAACAGCCACTGATTTTTCTGAATCTATCGATTTTCTTCTTAAATCCATGGAATATTCCTCATCCCCAAGCACCAGAGTAGACTGTGAAGTTAAAGAACCTGTTTCAGTACCAGATGGAACATCAAATGTAATACCTGCATTTAAACCACAGATCTTATCTAAGGGAAGCTCTGTGGCTACAGCAATTTGGAAATCTAAAGTAGCTTCTATAGCACAGATATAACCTCCCACATCAAATACTGGGCAAAAGAAGCAAGCATTTAAAGTTTTCTGAGCATCATCCCATATGTAGGAATGAAGGGCACTGCCTATAGCAACCACTAAGCGATTACCATCCTTAGTCCAGCAAGCACAATGGATGAGACCACTGCTTTTGATATCCGCCTTAACCCTGGAGTGATCAGAACGAACAGCATGTAAAACTGAGGCATCGCGTTTAGTAAGCACAGCCAAAATATCCTTCTTTGGATGCCACACGCAGCCCTGGGGAAGCATTGGAAACGGCTCACCAATTTCACAGGTCTGGGAAACCAGGAGCTTTTTCTTTTCTGAAATATTACAGCTGAGCTGCCAAACAGTGACATGTTTTTTATGCTGGATAGCAAGCAGAGCTGGTGTGTCTACAGCACAACATGGGCCCCAGCAAAGCCCACGAACATGTTCAAACTGACCAATTACACTCGAGTCACCAAACTTGAGTTCTCCATGATAAAAATGTAAAGCAGTCAGTGCTACTTGCTTCCCATCTGTCCAGGCAATCCCATGCACAGGATGTATGGCCTGATACAAGGCATTAAGGCCAGTTCTCAGAAGTTTTGCTTTTCCCAGTTCCATCTTTTTAAACTTCCTGCCTAGAGATGATAGTGCCAAAATAAAAAATCCACAGGATTCATTTGAGCATCTTGATAAGGAAAATGAGTCCCTCGTAACTGACTTGTTTCTCTGTAGGTGAATCAAGCTGATTTTTTCCCTAATGAGCAAGGAGCTTGAAATGCCAACTTCTTCACACTGTGATTCTCCAGCTGCTCTTCTAAGTATAAATCCATGTGAAAAGCTGCTTTTACTATGCTTTTTCCTGGGAGGAGTTATACTCGTCATGTGATGTCTAAGAAGGTTTAGCTAATTACTGTATGCTTCACTCACATTTTCTCAGGAGCCTATTTTTAACTCTTAGATGCTGGGTGTATATTTAAAAATAACACTCTAATACCTTGACCTTCTGTGAACGAAGATCTCCTTCAATGAATGGAGGAAACAGATTCTACACTGTTAAGCCTTGGCAGTAAGCTACAGTATGAAATAATTGCCTGATATTTCTTTACAGACTTTGAAGGAAAGAGTAAGGGCCAGATTCCAATCTCAGATTCCAGTCCAATTTCAAAGATTCCTAAGGGGCTATAGCAGGGGAAGTAGGAGAGAGAAATCCTATTCAATGGTTATATGTAATGTACAAGACAGGGAGGCAAAATATAACCAACATAAACTAGAAGCAAGGACACCTGGTCTATTTGGGCCTTGTCTACTCTGAAAGATCAAGTTGAATTTATTAAAGTCACATCTCTACACTGAACTAATACAAAATCCTTTTGCAGTGACCCTCCCACAAGTGTTTCTGTGGGAAGGAGTAATATGGGTAAAAAAGTGTCTGTGCCTAAGGTAATACCCATTTAATGTGCAGTATCTTTGACTGCATGAGGTTTGCATGAGTTTTCAGAGGTTAAATTGGACACTAGAGCAGGGATAGGCAAAAGCCTGTCAGCAGGCCGGATCCGGCCTGTGTAGCTCTTTCATCCAGCCAGTGCAGCAGTTCCTGGCCCAGCCCCTAACACGCTTCCTGGGAGCCGGGATGCTCCAGCACTTTCAACTGCTTCTATTTCAAGGGCTCTTGCCTTCCCCGCGGCTGCCAGGAAATAGAAGCAATTGAAAGGGTTCACAGCTCCCATGCCTCTAGCGTGTTGCCTGGGAGCCGGGTCATGCTAGCTCTTTCAACTGCATCTATTTAAAGGGCTCACGCCTTCCCCGCAGTTGTCAGGCAACAGTCGCAGGGAAGGAGTGAGCCCTTTACATAGTAGCAGTCGAAATGGCTCTCATGTCCGCAGCTACCAGGCAACGTGCTAGCAGCAAGGGGCTGGGAGCAGCATGCTCTTTAAATAGCAGGAATTAAAAGGGCTCACAGCTCCTGCCCCCGCTAAAGTGATGCCTGGGAGCCGCAGGGGAGGTTCAAGCCCTTTCAACTCCTGCTATTTAAAGGCCCCGCCCCTTGCACCCAAAGCCCCGCCCATTCCAGGGCAGCTGCAACTGCTTCAAAATTTTTGAAGCATCCCCCCCCTTCACAAATTATTGCCCACCCCTGCTCTAGAAGGTGCCTGAACAGCTGTGTGCATACAGTAGAATTGAAAATGATAAAGGACAAATAATTGAAAAGGCAACAGAGTTTAAAGCAAATGCATTTCTTAGTTTATGCCAAGTTCTATATTCATGCAGTGTATAACTGAAAGTATGACACAGTGCAGTGCAACCCATCCTAGTTTCCTTTTTCAGCAAGGAAAATAAAAAGCAGAAGTAAAGAGACAATTTCTCCTAATTTATTCTGTGTACATTTCTATAACTAGAACAAGTGTTTAATTTTTTTTATGTGAATATGGCATGCATTGATCTCTACAGGACACATACAACATAGACTTGTAATTTGGAATGGTCATGGTAGCACCATAGATTTTCTTTAAATTCTGCATTCTTGCAGCAGCAACCTTAATAAGCAGTTGCTAAGTTAAGGCCACTCTAGTGTAATACAAAATGTGAAGACGACTGTCCAGCTCTTGCATGAATATCGAGCCAGATTCTGGTCTCATTAATACCATTGTAACTTCTCATTTACATTGGTGTAACTGTGATCAGAACATAACCCCTTATTTAGAACATGTTTTGAATTCCACTAACTCAGCAGGTTTATTATCTCATACAATGCTGTGCACTGTAAACCCACCCTTATGAAATACCGAGTACCTTACCCATTCAATGACAGTATCGCATAGGATTAGACTTCATTTCTTTATTTACTCATGGTGAAACAGAGAATAAAGCAATAAATCTTTGTTGGCCAAATCCTGCTCCAAACTTATTAAATGAAGAATAAATCTCCCATTGACTTCAACAGGAGCAGGAACCAGTCCCATCTGGAATATAAGCTTAACAATAACAGATTCTCCAATGTTAACCTAAATGTATAAAATGGCTAATACAATGTGATATTTTTAATTTCCAAATATACTACTTTTGAAAGCAACCCACTTCATTTTAAATAATTGTAGTTGATGTGTCATTTATTGAAATAAAGTTAAGAATCTTGAGTAGCTTTCTTTAATGCTTGCATTTCTATGCCTTTCAGAAAGTGTCTATCTTTAAAAATAGCCTGGCTGTCATAATCTCACTGAAACAGAGTGTGAAAGTGATGCACAATTAATAAAGATACATAATAAGTAACCTGTCAGAGCAGATCTACTGGTAACAATATGTACATCATATCCCTTTAAGGGTTATTTCTCTTTGCAATTATTGCTCTCTTGACTAGACCTCACCCACCTTGCTGACAGGAAGATTTTGTGTGTGGATAGCAAATTAGAGTGAAACTTATTGCCATTTTAAAAAATGAAAGTGTTTCTTTTGTTTTCTCTTACTTTCAAATGTTACATAACTGTGGGGTTTCCCTATCCAGGTTATATCTATCTGAAGGAACATATACTCCAAGTTAAAACTCAGTTCCCTTCCAGCTTTTCTCTCAGATAGGAGATGCAATATGTTTCTTCCTGGAAATTTTTTAGAGTGGTGGCTTCAACCCATTTCCCAACCTTTACTTCCCTGCAATCTCAGGAAAGCCACCAGCAACAAAGAATGTCAGCACAGAGGTTTTTCCGTCATACCTCTTGCTCTTTGCTACACAAAGACAGTATGGCTCTGGCAGGAAACAGGCTGTCAGCAGCTCCCTGGGCCATTCCTGTTGTGTGCGGTTCTGTGTATGGAGGGAAATTCTGCACAAGTTATAGTAGGACAATTCCACAACTGTGCAAGAACCTGCCAGTCCACCTACACTCTCCATAGCCAACCTGTAGAGGCAGAACATCATGGAGTACCTGAAGGGATCTCCACAGGACTGGGGAGAAGAGGACTAAGCCATAGAGAAGGTACTTCTTTTCCCACACCCAGCAGTGAACCTGGGCTCAGACTCTCTGGCTATGTCTACAAAGCATGGTTCCCCCTTTACTAACTTCTTCCCAACCAGGGATTGCCCTATCCAATCACTCTCCCAACTAAAGCTATGTCTAGACTACTCTGCTGCATACAGGGAACGCATCTGCTCTTTTTTTTTTTTTTTTTTTTTTGGAAGAGCAGATGTGCTTTTTTGGAGGCCCTGTCTTCCTCCTTCCACGAGGAAGAAGAGCTTTTCCAAAAGAGGAGTGTAGATGGGTCATATTTCGAAAAAGCCTCTTCTGAAAAACTGTGTGTACCTTTTTCTGATAGATCATTGTAGTCTAGACATAGCCTAACAGACCCCCATTCATTTCCTCCCTCACCATATATCATTCCCCAGCCCTCCCTCTTGGAAACACCAAGCAAATTGTCCAATGAGTACTCCATACTTTCCTTTGACAATAAAACTTCTCCACCCATCACAGGAAGGAACATTTGCTGAGGGTGATCTGTATTCAGACGTGGAATAGTCTCTTAAGGCATATGGTGGGATTCTACTGCTTGGAACAGTTAAAATTGGACTGGGCAGAGGCCTACTAGGAAACATATTTTGGGAAGAATCCTGTTTTGGCAAAGAAAGAGGTTTGAATGATCTAATGGATCTTCTCCTTCTCTGACTCATCATTCATTGGCCAAATTATTCCTGATTTTAGTGATTGACTCTCACTTAGGTTGTTATTAATAAAAAAAAATTCTAACTTTTTGTTGGCTTTGAGTAAGAATGGAAATTTACTTACTGTGAAGTCATTGAACACACCACATTATCAAATAATTAGAGGCATTTTGCATTGCTAAATGTTCTTTGTTACAGTTTTCACGCTCAGTTAGATCACTCTCATTTGAAAATCCATTGTGACTTGTAAAAGAGAGAAGAGGTTAATGACATTTCTAGCAGAATAATTATACCGTTTTGATGACAAACAGTTACTGAACTTTCTAAACATCACTTAGACAACCTTGTCTTCACTGTAACCATTTACATTTGGAAAATTATTTACTGTTAGCAGGGTGCATGCACAAATTTAAATTTTACTGCTTTTGGAGGGCACATTTTGTGGCCCCTTGGCAATCCCAGGGCTGGAGGAGCTATCAGGTCCCACTTTGGCTATGGGGCCATATGATCTTGCTCTCCCCACCATGGCCCTGGGGCCAGAAAAGTTCTGTGCTCCCACTGATTATTAGAGGATCCACACTCCTGCTTGTCCCCCTTCTGCACACCTAATTGTTGGCAAGGCGTGTCAGACACTGGGACATGACCAAGTAGGTGTTGAAAACAGTTTGGCTGATAGTGCAGATAGGACAAAACCCATTATAGAAATTGAGGAAGATGGCAAGTTCCATCAGGAATGAAGAAGATGTTTTGTCTCTGTCTGTTCTAGCAGTTAAACCATATTCAATACTGGCTGAGAACTGTCTGAGGAATCCAGGATCCATTTTCAACCAGTCATTTTCCCAGTGTAGTGAATAGAAGAGAAGGGTGTTTAAAATATGCTTTGGTTTCTGTAGCAAGTGATGACCAAACCTGAGATTCTGTGTACAGTTTTAGGGAAATCTTCCACCACTGTATGGGTATTTTCTCTCTGGTG